TAAAAGACGTAATCGTCAATCCCATCTTGCGGGGGTCGGGGGTTCATTATTGGTTCTCCTCATCTCATCTTCGTGCAAGGGATCATCGTTGAAACAAAAGAAACGATCTATTTTCAGAAAATCAGCGTCATTAAATATACGAGCTCCAACCTGAGAAATGGCGGAGGCCTCGACGTCCCGACCGAGCTCATATTCTTGAAGGATGAAGCGCAGCTTGAAGGCAATGACAACGACGGCATTGAGAAGCAGTGACACGAAGAGGTGCTGATGGAGGATGATCCTCGAAATCCGGAGCTGCCTGAAATTTATTTAAACGCAAATTTCAAGAAAAAAGAAGAAGAATAAATCATCTCTTTCGGTGACTCAGCGTTTCTTTGTTGCCCCATAAATTATTTAAAACCGGTTCGTCCCCGTCTTTTCGACGTGAAGCGTAGAAGTTATTTATAGCTGTGAAGACTTGGTTTGGGTCTTCAAAAAATTTAGATTTCTCAGCGTCTCAGCGGGGTGAGATACGAATCTGGTTTAATGCATTAAATTTACTCATGCCCGCATTCCACTTTTAGGATATGCAATGATGCAGTTTCGGCAAGAAGTATCAGATTTGAGCATAATCATTGAAATAATACTGTATCGGTATAATTCAAAAGGTCTCAACTTGAGCAGCTTCTTGCTCATGCATATTCTAACTTCACTACAGCATTAGCGATAAAATGCTGCATTGAAATGATCGGAACAATTTTATATTGAAACATAATTCTTTGGCACTGACTTTGAGACGTAATCATAAAATGTTCTTAATTTATTTATTTATTTGATACTCGCATACAGTATATTTTTTATAACGCTCTGCTGCAATTTCATCAACCATCAACGTTTGGTAGAAGAACCGTATATATCATTTAAATTATGGACTCCTTTTCAACTTGGTCTATTTTCAAAATTCAGCGTGATTGCGCAAAAATCTTGACACGCAAATATTGCCTTGGTAAAAAAATGTTTCCCAAATTGCAATTCAAAAATAAAACGCTGATCGCATTCATTATACTATGAACATCAACTTCTATGAACACTCCTTTAACCCGTTCAAACATTTTAGATGCTGAATCCCAATTCCAGTTTTGCCACATATATGCAAATATCCCCTGCATATCCTTTGAAGACGAAGCTTATCAATCATCCAGAAGTAAACTGCGAAATAAGCGTTCATGCTCATGGCATCATTTTCAGATTTTCTCAGAAAAAATCCTGCGCCATCTTATTCCCATACAGTATATATATGCATGTAAAAACTTTATGGATGGGTCAAAATAAATTTTTAATATATGTTAAACAAAAGCTCAGCCCAGATAAAATTCTTCAATTAATTGTGAGATCTCCTGTGAGGTGTTTTTTCCTCCTCTTTCGTTATTAAA